AGCACAGGGATCTGGATAACCTGTTTAATCCCTCAGTGTCTTGTCTGTAAGATGAGGTTACTTTGGGAACGCATGTTAACCATGTAGCAGGGATTCTGTAGCCTATGCTTTGCATTGCCACTGCATTTGCATTTCTGCCAAATTTATCATTCAATCATCTGCTTCCAAATCTGTTCTTCCCAATAATTTATGGACCAAAAATCTCTATCGCAGATGGGCTGCAACCCAAGTTCCGTAGTTTGTGGTATGATCTGGCGCTGTCCCACCTTTCCACATGATTCCTTGCTTTCATGTTCACCTTGACACATTTCTGACTCCCATGGTCTGTTGATTGTTCTTTACCTAGAACTGCCCACCATCTGCCTTCCTGTGTTTCTCTGTCCTCCAGTCTCCATCCGTTGAATTTCTCCTGTCCTTCTAGGACCAAGGTCCCAGGCATGCCCCGTTGTGATTTTCGTGTTTCTCCCCATACTGGAAGTAATAGCCTCTGTCTTTCTAGCCATGTGTTTATAACGCTGTTAAAACTCTGAGGAAGGTAGGGTTTCAAATAATTGAAAGTAGCCAGCAGTCTGTTCATTCATTTAGCACAAAAAAAGGAGCTTTTTTTTCCCCCCACCAACATGACAGCACTAAGCCATTTCTTGCACCTTGGCTTTTTCCTTAGCTTTTCAACCCTGAGTTGATTAGACAGATTTAGTTAGGCGGACCACTCCATTCTTTAAGCATTTGTAGGAATTCCCAGTATCTGGTAGCTGGTTAAGTGAAGTTGGACAATACAAATGCAGAAACAAAACAACCTTCACAGGAAGTAACTGAGTTTTAGAATGAGAGAGAGTGATATGAATTGAGTGAAATATCACTGAGATCCCTGGTGAATGAACCCATCTTCTGAGTAGCTCGCTCTGTGGGCTGAAGAATGTGCTGCCCAGAACACAGTGGGCAAGCCTGTGCTGTTTACAGTGTGCCCAGTGGCACCTGCCTGCCCACCTGCCTGCCTGTAATGTGGTCCAGGGACTCCCTGGTGGCAGCCGTCTGTGTGACGGCAAGACCTGAAGGTAAATACCCCATGTCTGTTAAGCAAGACTCCTAATCTCTACCAATATGATTTGCTATGTAAATAATATAGTAATAAACAGTAACAGACTCTCATTACTGGGCTGCACAGCACAAAAGAAGCACCCCTGTTTTCAAGTGTCTTGTTAGTGCCACCTTAACTTAAAACATACCTGTTCTGCCATTGGAGGCAGCAACAGCAGGCAAGAACCATAACATTCTTTGGAAAAATTTCACTGATTGTCCCTAGTTTTCTTTCTTTTTTTTTTTTAAGATTTATTTATTTTTATATAATAGGCAGATTTTACAGAGAGGAGAGAGAGAGAGAGAGAGAGAGGTCTTCCATAACAATAACTCCCTAAATGACTACAGTTACCAGACTGAGTTGATCTGAAGCTGGGAGCCAGGAGTTTCTTCTGGGTCTCTCATGTGGGTGCACAGGCCCCAGGCTCTGGACCGTTGTCTACTGCTTTCCCAAGCCACAGGCAGATGGCTGAATGGGACGTGGAACAGACACAAACTGGTGTCCATATGGGGAAACGGCACTTGTAGGAGGAGGGTTAGCCCATTGAGCCATCACACAGGCCCTGTCCCTAGTTTTTTGATTGTGACAGTTCAGTCTATAGAGAAAGTCTCATTAGCAGATTTTTATCTGGGCTGCTTTCATGCTTCCAGGCGCTGTTGTCCTAACTTTTTCTGACCTTCAGGTTCTGGGTTTTCTTACTAACTGTAATATGTGTACTTAATTATCGTCTTTGTGATGATCACACCCAGATTCATTTTTGACCGTGGTCACTTTCGGTCTGAAATGGCTGATTATTTACAGCTTTGTTCTCTCAACTTAGTAGATTCCACCCAGAGTCACATTCCTGATGTCAGATTTGAATGAGTTGAATATAGGTGCTGACATATTTTCTGGCCCAGAAAGCTAAGTCAAGGCCAAGGCCTACTGCCTGGCCATAGCAGGTGGAACAGCTCTCCGGATGGTGCTGCTTATGACCCTGATCTGGCCGTTTCACACTCCGACTTCCTCAGCCCTGTTGTGGCCGAGCTGCTCTGCATATGTCCATGACATTTTAGGATGCTTTTTCAGGTTGTTGTGTGGAGAAACAATGTGGTGCGGTTTAAATCCGGATCAGCATCGTCGTCGAGGACTTGAGATGGATAGCGGCTCACCTTTGCTGCACTCTGAGCTTTGTTGGTGACATCTCTTCTTCAAGCAGATTCAGCTGGAGCTGAAGCCACATTAGCACATGTGGCTTCTACTTTGTGTCTTCAATGTAATCTTAGGTTTTGTTTGTTTGTAATTGTGAACCCAGAAGAGGAAGAAAGACTCCCACTTTAAGTCCCTGTGATTTCTTCTGTCCCAGTTCTGTATTTCTGGAGCATTTGCACCTGACAGGAATAGATTCACGGAAACAGAAGGAGCAGGAAAGCCCTGGACGCATTTGAGTTGGCCCAGATGTGAAGTCCTGCTCACGACAAGCACAGAGGAAAGCCAGCTCCAGGAAATGTGAAGCATGCCTGGCCCCACTTTTTCTTTTGGAACACTCAGTGTGAAAATGGTGAGAAGCAATTAAGACCAACAAGTGGATCTTTAAACATATTAACCATAGCTTAATGGACTTAAAAGCTTTTTGCTTTTTTAAAGATTTGTTTATTTGAAAGAGTTATATAGAGAGGGAGAAACAGATTTTCCATCTGTTGATTTCCTGCCTAGATGGTCACAATAGCCAGGGCTGGGCCAGGTGAGGCCAGGAGCTAGGTGTTTCTCTTCGGCCTTTTATGTGGGTGGCAGAGATCCAGGTCCATGGGCCATCTCCTGCTGCTTTTCTCAGGCCATTGGCAGGGAGCTGGACTAAAAGCGGACTCACCGGCGTCACAGGAGACAGCTTTATCCACTGAGCCAATGATGCCACCCCTTAAAAGCTTTTACGGTTTCAATTCCAAAAAGGCTTTTCAAAGAATAATTCAGTTTTGAGACTTCTAAAAAGCAGAAGTTTCCAAGAGAAGTGACTTCCTATTTTAGTATCACAGAAAAGGAGGAAGAGCTGAGCAGGGGAAGGTTGTGTTGGGGGAGGGAGTCATGCTTTAGCTCGTCCACTGTTATTCCAAGAGTATAGGGCTACTGCAGTTTGAACTTCTCCTGCAGCTCCAAGGAAATGGCTGTGACCCTTTAGAACTCCCAAGACAGTGGGTACCGAGCCCCAGATCATCTCCACTCTCAAGGAGCCAGCCTGGTGTGGTGCCACCTGTAAGTGACCATAATCAAAGTGTTTATGTTTTCCAGAATCATTTGTTATTTGATAAAGGTACTGTGTGAGTCTCAGTACCGGTGTCAAATGTTTGCGTTTTGGTGGTAGAACATACTTGACATTACCCTGAGTAGCAAGTTGGAAAAAAATGAGCATGTTTCCAATCTTTCTTATCTTCAACATTTATGTGGAAATAAAATAAAATGAAGATCTGAGAGTAGAGATTTCTTAGGATGTGAAAGAATGTTGATGGGGCCCATTGCAGTGGCCTACCAGCTAAAGTCCTCACCTTGAACGTGCCAGGATCCCATATGGGTGCCAGTTCTAGTCCTGGCAGCTCCACTTCCCATCCAGCTCCCTGCTTGTGGCCTGGGAAAGCAGCTGAGGATGGCTCAATGCCTTGGGACCCTTCTTCCACATGGGAGACCTGGAAGAAGCTGGAAGAAGCTCCTAGCTCCTGGCTTCAGATCAGCTGAACTCCGACCAGCGTGGACACTTGTGGGGGAGTGAATCATCGGACTGAAGGATCTTCCTCTCAGTCTCTCCTCTGTATATCTGACTTTCCAATAAAAATAAATAACTCTTAAAAAAAAAAAGAATGTTGGTGAATTCTAGTTGGAATTAAGTTTCAGACGAGATGATAAAGGCATGAGTAGACAGAGGGGGTGGTTTTGAGGAGGTGCCTTCTGAAGCATGTGGGGAATCCCTTCCTGGGTGGATGAGCATGATTAGATCATGGTCATTCAGAGTTGGAGGTCTAGGCTGGTGGTCTCCAATGACCATTGGCCCTTAACTGTACCTGCTGTATTGGCGGCATGTGGAATGTGGCCATGGGGCCCTGAGGACAGTTACTGACTAGCACACAATGTATGTGTGGCTCAGAATACTGAAATTTTTTTTTTTTTTTTTTTAAAGATTTATTTTTATTATTTTTTATTGGAAAGGCGGATATACAGAGAGGAGAGACAGAGAGGAAGATCTTCCGTCCGATGATTCACTCCCCAAGTGAGCGCAACGGGCCGATACTATGCCGATCCGAAGCCAGGAGCCTCTTCCGGGTCTCCCACGCGGGTGCAGGGTCCCAAAGCCTTGGGCTGTCCTCGACTGCTTTCCCGGGCCACAGGCAGGGAGCTGGAAGGGAAGAGGGGCTGCCGGGATTAGAACCGGCGCCCATATGGGATCCCGGGCGTGCAAGGCGAGGACTTAACCACTTGCGCCACCGCGCCGGGCCCAGAATACTGAAATTTTTAAGTAGCCTTTCATAGGGTTGTCACAAACCGGTTTGAATGAACCATAAGTATTACTGTACACTGAGTAGTTCTAGGGAAATATCCAGTTGGTTAATATAGTTGATCCTTGTTATTAAAGGATTCTGTATTTTTTGAATTTGCTAGCTTGTTAAAATTTATTTGTTAGGCCTGGCACAGTGACCCAGTTGGCTAATCCTCCCTTTGCAAGCGCTAGAATCCCATATGACTACCAGTTTGTATCCCAGCTGCTCCATTTCTCATCCAACTCCCTGCTTGTTGCCTGGGAAAGCAGTGGAGGATGGCTCAAAGCCTTGGGATCCTGCATCCACATGTGTGCCCAGAAGAGGCAGCAGGCTTCTGGCTCCTGGGTTTGGATCGGCTCACCTCTGGCCGTTGCTGCCATTTGGGGAGTGAAACAGCAAGTGGAAGATCTTTCTCTCTCTCCATCTCTGTGTAAATCTGCCTTTCCAGTAAAAGTAAATCTTAAAAAAAAGTATTTGGAACCCTTAGCCCAGCACTTGGGGAGCTTTTGTGATCATTCGCAGACCCACATAGAGCAACACAGCTTTGAGTAGCTCCAGGTTCCTAGAGCCAGCTGAGGTTGAAGAATGCAATGCTGCTTCTTGTTTCATGGCTCAGATTGTGAACTAGTGTCCTTGTTGCAATCTTTTGTGTACTGAAATGATTTTTGCATTTTCATGCTTTGTATTGCTGAAAATGGCTTCCAGAATGGCCTGGGACTGACAGATTGATACTCCTAAGAGCAAGAAAGCTAGAACGTAGCTTAAAGAGAAAAACATATGAGGGTCAATGAAGCTTTTGTGAGTAGCATTGCTGTTGATTCTGAGCCTGATATTCATGTACCAACAACATGCATCAGTGAAATCTGCCTTTTTTTTTTTAAGCAAGAAAATGCTTGCCATGGTGATGTGTGCCAGTGGTGGTGCTAGGAATGTTGTGACCAGTAGCTTGTATTTTATTAGGAGCAAAGGTTTGTCATTTGCTAATGTAGGGATAAAGATGATTTGATATAAGCAAGTTTTATCATTACCAGTCCCAAGGGGCACTTCCTGGGGGAATCCCTGTGCTTTCCTACCAGCCAGATCCTCCCGAGTTGGTGAGCATGCTCAGGTCATGAAGCCTCCAGATTCTCTTTTATCCTGGGTGGAAACTGCAGCTGTAGAGATACAAATGTGCCACAGTGTTAGCCCAGAGCCAGGCATCCTGTCAAATGCTGACAGAGCTCAAGCTTCACAGTGTGTCCATGTGTGTGGACACTTTGCTGCAGCTGCAGAAGTTCCAGAAACACACCCTTTCTTGACCTGTCAGATGATGTTTTGCGTAGTTCCCCTGGCCCTCTTACAGCCAGAGTGCCCCAGTTCAGGGAACAATAAAAATAGACAACACAGGAACTCGTCTGTCTCAGGGGAAAGAGAGTCTTTTGCATTGAAAGGGATGATATTCTGTAGCTTAAGAACATCTAATTTGAGGATGAGATTTCACAGAAGAAAATCAAGGAATGACGTGAGGGGCTTACCTGTTTCCACTGCCTGTAGCTTTTATTTTTTTAATGTGTGTTTTCTCTGCCAAAAAAACAAAATGAGAAGGCCATTGAACAGCCTGATTCTTTGTTGAGGAAATGGTTTTTTGTGAGGCTGTTTGGTTATACAATGAATGAAAGAGGCAGGACTTCCGGGATGGGCTCTCTGTCTGGGATGTGAGGGCTGCTGCGAAGCCTCGGGTTGGTTTTCTGGTGTGTGTGTGTATAACCCTATAGATAAACAGATTGATGGATAGTTAGAGACTTTGATTATGGCAATCGTATCCATAAATGAGCTATCTGATCTGTAAATTAGCAAGTCCATGGCACTGAGTACATTCACACTGCCTTCAGAACACTTGTCACTTGAAACATTGTGTTAAACAACAGCTCTTTCCTTCTCAGCCTCCAACTTGTGGGTTTCTGTGCAGTACTATTCTAATCTCTGAATGGAAGTTTACAATATTGATGACTTTGTGGCTGGTTCACTTCACGTAGTATCATTCCTCAAGCCTTGGTCATATGGTAGTGTGGATCAGGTTCCTTTTTTTTAAACAATATTCCATTTTATATGCATGTTACAGTTGAAGCTGCTTACTTATTTTCATTTATTTGAAAGGCAAAGAGAGAGAGACACAGAAAGGTAGAGAGAAATCTTGAAATCTTCCACTCACTGGTTCATCCTCTAAATGGCCATAATAGTCAGGATTGGGGCAGGTGGAAACCAGGGATATAGATGAGATACAACTGTCCTGAATGGTGGCTTAAGCACTATGTTATATTCCTGCTTCTCTGTAGCGTTTTTTGTTTGTTTATATGTTATGTCCATGGATACTTGGGCTGCTTTTTTCTTTGACTGTTGTGAATAATGCTAAGAACATAGGTTTGTAAATATCTCTTTGAGACCATGCTGGGGCTTTTCTTTATGGAAATATCTGTAGAATTGCTGAATTAAGGGGTCATTCCATTCTTAATTTTTTTAAAGACTCACCAGGTTTTCCAAATTGCTGTACTAGCAGTGCATGAAAGATTAGATTTCTCCACATTCTTGCAAACACTTATTTTATTTGTTTATCATTATCTGATGCTTTTAACTTTGTTGAAGAGCTATTATAGTCTCCTGACAAGAAATGCTGATCTAAACCAAGTTTTATTTTAGTAATGTTTCTAGGCACTCAGTAGGTTAAAAACAGCAGCAGCAACAAAAACAAATCTGATTGGACTGATTGCCCTGTGTGACCTTAAAACTGGCCGTAACCTGGTAGGTGCTGAGCTAATCTTTGTTCACTTAGTGAATCAGTGACCATGAAGATAGCTGTTGACACCTGCCACGGAGAAAGAGAGAATGGGATTGGGAATTAGGGCATATGTATTAGCCCTCCTCTTTTGCCATTTTTAAAGCAAAATTATTTGGACCCAGTATCAAAGGCAAATGTTTAGCAAATTAATAAAGTTTGGGTGCATGTGTTGGGCAGTGAGAAGAGGTTAGTTGGTGCTATTCCACTTGTGCATAGTAAGGCATTGTTGATGCTGTTATGTTTGGAGACTGCCAGCGACCACCTCATGTTAGCGCGTGCTTTGTGTGCTGGAAAGGCTTTTTGCATAGAAACATAAGCATTTTCTCTATTAAAATGTCTTTAATGTTTAGGAACACAGAGTCCTGTCTTTGCTTACGTGACATTGCTTGCTTATTCTGTGTTGGCCTTCCAGACATCTCTGTAATCTGCTAGGTGTTCTGCAGTAGTTGGTTCTGACTTGGATTCCTTCATACAAGAATAAAAAAGTTGGGATCAAGATCGTGTCTTTCAAATGAGGTTTGTTGTTGTTGTTTGCCCTTCCCGAGATCATGGTTCCTATTGCTGTTTCCTTTGGCTGCAGTGACCCAGGGCTGACTTTACTGCTGTGCCCAAGGCAGTGTTCTCCAGAGGCAGGCATTGCTTGCAAAGGTTAGGATGCCGCTTAGGGCACCTGCCTCTCCTGTTGAAATTCCTGGCTCCACTTCTGATTCCTGCTTCCTGCCAGTGCACTGCCTGGGAAACAGCAGATAATGACTGAGGTTTTTATCTGCCTTATACATGGAACACTCAAATTGGCTTTAGCTTTGTTAGGCCTTGGTTATTGTACACGTTTGGGGAGTGAACCAACAGATGGAAGATCAGTCAGTCTTTCTCTTTCTCTCTCTCTCTCTGCCATTATTTTAAAGTTTAAAGATAAAATTTAAAAGGTTTTTCCCCCCAAATTCTTCAAATCAAGTCATCCAGTGAACAAATACATTTTATATCCCAGCTGGTTTTGTAGCAAAGGTATTTGTTCTAAATTGCAAAAATGTTAGTTATTCCTACGGTATTTTTTCTATTTAATCACAAGAATCAATTTCACAATCCACAAATGCAGTTGAAAAAAATCTGAACAACTGGCATCATGGAACTTTCATGTTCTCTGGCAGCAATCAGCTCTTTTGCTCCTGTCTTGCCTGTTGCCATCTCATTCTAATAGGTGTTTGAACCACTTTTTGATAAGGCATGCTAGCCCTGATTTTTGCATTCAATCTTGCCCTTCTAGGGCAGCTGATCCTTGGGAAGTGGGACTTGCAGAGTAGAAGGAATTTTCCATAAATAAATTTCAAATTCATGCTTGAAGCATTCTGTGTGTGGTGAGGGGGTGGGGACGGGGTAGTACCTGTCAACTTTGCATTGCTGTAGTGAAATAACCAAGACAGCTATCTTTGGTAAAGAGAAAAGGTTTATTTGGTTCACAGTTGCAGAAATCCATCTCAAAACTGAATAGGGAGATGGTTGTGTTGGTTGGGCCTTGGTAGATTGATGATGACAGCTCATCATGGTGAGTCTGTGTCTGTGTGAGTAGGAAGTTGGAGAGAGGATCCCTCAGGCCTTTCTGAGCACAAACCCCAAATACAGACCCCTTGCCAAAAGTTGCATCACCTTCCAGTAGCACCAGCCTGGGTGCCAAGTCCTTAAGTGTGGCCTTTGGGCATACACAAGGCAGTGTCTGTGCTGAAGCAGGGTTAAAGGAAATTTCTAGAGAGGTGCAGCAGTATTGAAGTCACCCATCCTGTCCCTTAAAGCCTCTGTTCACTCCACTGGGCTCTGTGGTCACTTAGAACAGACAGTCTCACTAACTCATGGACACTTTTGAGAGAAGGGGTAGGTGTGGTTTATCTTTCTTTTTATTTATTTAAAAGGAAGAGAGGAAGACAGGGAGATCTCTCTGCTGGCTCATGGGCCAGATGCCTGCGACAGCTGGGGCTGACTAGACCAGAAGAAAGCCAGGAGGCCAGGGTGCCATCTGGCTCACTCACACAGGTGGCAGGGACCCAAGTCCTTGAGCCATCACCTGCTGCCTCCCCAGGGTACACAATAGTAGGAAGCTGGAATTGAGAGCCGGCCAGGACTTAATCCATGCAGCATCTTGACCACTAGGCCATGTACTCCTGCTCCTTCCCTTGCCTATGCTTCATTCGCATAGCCCTCAGTGTGATGACTTATGTCTCAGTCTCATTCTGCCTCTTTGCTATGTTTGCTTCTGTCCTACAGGAAACAGGAAGCTAAATATAAAATCAGACAGACACACTGTGTGAAATGGCCTGAGGGACAGCTGAGGTAGAGGTCTGTGAAAGCTTAAGTTTGAGGAAAATCACAAGACAAGATTTTTTATTTCAGGAAGGGCAAGATTAGGCATTTTAGAAAGTTGTGATCATAAATATGTGAGGAAGACTAGTAAGCTCCTCATTGCTCATAGGTAAATAGGAGCAGATATTTTTCAAAAGTTGTATGGTTTCCCCCACCCCCAAGTTAGCTCAGTGTCTTGCAATAAGTTTTTTTTTTTAATTTCAATTAAAGAGTCATTTGTTTTTGTGGAAAGACAGGTCAGATTTATGGAGAAAACAAGAAACAAAGAGAAAGATCTTCTATCCACTGGTTCACTTCTTAAATGGCCACAATGGCCATAATGGTCAGAGCTGAGCCCATCTGATCCAGGAGCCAGGAGCCCCCATGTGGGTGCAGGGTCCCAAGGCTTTGGAGCATCCTCTACTGCTTTCCCAGGGCATAAGCAGGAAACTGGGTGGGAAGTAGAACAGCTTGGACACGAATCGGTGCCTGTATGGGATCCTGGCACTTGCAAAATGAAGATTTGGCCATTGAGCCATTGTACTGGGCTCACAATCAGTTTTTTAATAGAATTCTTTAGGCTCAGAATTCAGTTTCATATGAAATACCACAAAACCACTAATGGGCTGATTTGATAGCTGGTACATTACAGTGAGGCTGATAATAAGGGTGATTTTGTGTTTATCTCTGCTTTTGTGCCACATGGACATGCAATCAAAAGATGGTGGATTTTGCTTTGATTTAGTAGTGACTGCACTGAATGTAAATTTCAAATATGAGAATGCAGGCAGCCATGTAGCTTTGAGAAAGCCACCTAGTTTTTGTAAGCCTAAGCGGCACATGAATCAATGTGTAACTGAGTGTGGAGAAGTTTGGGTTCCAATTGAGTGAAGCCTGGATTTGGGTTTATGAGAAGGTCTTTGGAAATGATCTAGCTTCATTGCATGACTGTAGACCCAGGAAATTCATGGGAGTGCTGTGGAATCCATTGTGCCTTCGTTTATTGGGTCACACTTACCACCCAGAATGTGTGTCATTTCATCCAGGACAGGATCCCCCTCGGGGTGAAGAGCATTGTTTGTGCATGAGTCTGCAATGGATCTGAATCACTCCCCTGCAGTTTCCACATCTGTGGCCTTACACAAGCTTCTTAACGTCTTGCAGACCCAGGCTTCCCATGAAATGAAATAGAAATAAGGATTTAGTTCTAACTCATGTGGGTGTGGTGCATATTGAATGAGATGACACATTTATGCAAAGTTGTTCACATAATGGTTGGCATTTAGAAAGTGCTCAACACTATTATTAGGTTTTTTTTTTTTTAAGATTTATTTATTTTTCTTGGAAAGTCAGATTTACAGAAGAAGGAGAGACAGAGAGAAACATCTTCTGTCCACTGGTTTACTCCTCAAGTGACCTCAATGACCAGAACTGAGCTGATCAGAAGCCAACATCCGGGAGCTTCTTCTGGGTCTCCCATGTGCAGGGTCCCAAGGCTTTGAGCCATCCTTGATTGCTTTCCCAGGCCACAAGCACGGACCCGGCGTGTGCAAGGCTAGGACTTTTCCCACTAGGCTACCATGCTGGGCCTACC